GCGAGACCCCTGCTAGCAAACCCAGCCGCCACGTGACTGGGCTTGTGGCCCACGGAAACTATGAGGTAGTCAACCCCAAGGCTGCTACGTCTGTGGAGTGTGTTATGCGAGAGAAAACACGTCCGGGCCACCTCCGTGGATTCCTGGTGCTGAGAGGGTGTGTGGGCTGTGAGCCCCCCTGGGGAGGCAGGGTCTGACCTCAGAGCGGGGGGGATCCTGCCCTGATCTGGGCACGCGTGACAGGGCCAGGTTCTCAGACACTGTCGATGCCGATTCTCCCTGGAATCAGGCAGGTTCTTGGGGGACGTTGCTTTGCCGGGATTTTGGGGCCTCCCAGTGTCCAGGGCGCAATGCCTCCGTCACCCTGGCCAGAGAATCCCCTGGGAAGAGCTGGCGTATTTGCAGCACTGCACTTGCTGGCCAGTGGATTTTCCTGAATTGCAGGGGGCATTTGAGATCATGGTCATTGAACTCAGATCTTGAGTAAGAATGGTTGTGGGGGTAAGCTGCTCCTTGGGACGCCTGTATTCTGTATCGGAGTGCCTGGTTCATGTTCCAGCTGTTCTGCGCTTCTGACCCAACTTCCCACCAAGGTGCCTGGGAGGCAGCAGACTGTGGCCCAAATTCCTGGGCCCCTGCCACCCGCATGGGAGACCCGGGTGGAGTTCCGGGCTCCTGGCTTTGGCCTGGCCCAATCCCAGCTGTTGCGGGCATTTGGGGGAGTGGACCTGTGGATGGAAGACCTCTCTGTCACTCTGCCTTTCAAATGAATGAATCTTATAAAAAGCATGTAGCCTCTCTACACTTTAGGCTTCTCATCTGTAAGATGGAGAAGTTGGACTGTATCGCCTACGTGTGCCCCAGCAATCGGACAGGAAAAGGAAACACGGTTGTGTGAGGGTCCCGACGCAGCTGTGTTCAGGGTTAGAATACCCGAGGAGGCGGCGGGGGCCACTGCTGGCAGGAGCTTCTTTTGTTTTTGAAGACTGACTGATTGATTTGAAAGGCAGAGGTACAGAGAGAGGAGGGAGAGACACACAGAGAGGTCTTCCATCCTCCGGTTCACTCCCCAGATGGCTGCAATGGCCGGGACTGGGCCAGGCCAAAGCCGGGAGCCAGGAGCTTTTTCTGGGTCTCCCACATGGGTGCAGGGCCCCAAGCACCTGGGCCAGCCTCTGCTGCTTTCCCAGGCGCATTAGCGGGGGGCCGGATCGGAAGTGGAGCAGCCGGGACTCGAACCCGGCACCCATGGGATGGGGTGTTGCAGGTGCTGTGTAACCCACTGCACCACAGCGCCGGCCCCAGCCACCGCACCTCGTTCCTCTGCGTAGACCCCGGTTTCCGTCTGGCGTCGCTTTCCTTCTGCCCGAAGGGCTCTGTAGTTTCTGGTACTTCGTGCCATCGATAAACTGTCTCAGCTTTCGGAGATCTGAAAATTCTTATTTTGCCTTTTTTGTTTGTTTGTTTGTTTTGATGGGCTAGCATGTGGTGTGTGGTGGCGGCGTGGGGAGAATGTGTCTGCTGCCGCTGGGACGGCGTTCCACGGCCTGTGGTTGGCGGCCTTGTTCGGGTTCCCTGCGTCCTGTCGGCCCCTGCCTGGCTGTCCCTGGTGGCAGGTGGGGTACGCAGCTCCCTCCGATTTGGTCAGGTTTTCCTTGTGTTTGAAGAGGAACTGCATGCCCCGCGGGTTGTGGGGCGGAGCGAGGGCCCAGGGGTACCCGCGAGCTCCAGGAGCCGGGGTGGGGGGTGGCTTCCCCTAGAGCCCGCGGAAGGACAGGGCCCTGCTGCCTCTGACCTCTGGCTGCTAGAACTGCATCGTTTTCCACTGCTTAGTTTGTTTTTCTAGAAGATTCGCTTATTCATCTGGGATTCCGAGTTAGAGAAAGAGAGAAAATCTTGCATGCAGTGGTCACTCCCCGGACGGCCAGGGCTGGTCCGGGCGGAACCCAGGAGCTCCCTCCAGTCTTCCACGTGGGTGCAGGTGCCCAAGCGCCTTTTCTTTTCCCAGGCCATCAGCAGGGAGCTGGATGGGAAGCGGAGCAGCCGGGACTTGAACCGGTGCTCATATGGGATGCCGGCGCTGCAGGCGGCGGCTTTACCCGCTTTGTCACAATGCCGGCCCCGTTGTAAGCGGCTAAGTCTCTGATAACGTGTTGTAGGAGCGACAGGAAACGAGTGGAGTTAATGTACCAGATGGTGTCTCCGAGGTGGCCGCCCACTTGGTTCCTGCGTTCTCCTCCTGAGGTTGACCCCTTTCTAGGTTTGCCGAGTCTCCTACCAGCTCAGATCTGCCAAGGAGCCTCTGTGAGTCTCATTCCGCTTCTCAGCTCCGGCATTTCCAGGGCCAGCGCTGTGGCCTGGCGGGTCAGGCTGCCGTCTGCGGTGACGGCATCTCATCTGGGCACTGGTTCGGGTCCCAGCTGCTCCACTTCTAGTCCAGCTCCCTGCTAATGGGCCTGGGAGAGTAGCGGAAGGCCCTGCACCCATGTGGGAGACCCAGATGAAGCTCCTGGCTCCTGACTTCAGCTGGCCCAGCCCTGGCCGCTGTGGCCATTTAGGGAGTGAAACAGAGGATGGAAGGCTTTCTCTCCGTCTCTTCCTTGCCCTCTCTATAACTCTGACTTTCAAATACATACATCTTTAAACAAAAAAAAATTCTAGTTTTCCCTTGAAAATATTCTGTTTTGTTATTTATATTCCCTATTTGAGGATGAATCTGATTTCATTCTTTGGATGTGTTTTCCTTCAGTTTTTTTTAATGTGCTTCTTTTTTTTTTTTTTTTAAGATTTATTTATTTGAAATATGGAGTTACAGAGAGAGGTAGAGACAGAGAGAGAGGTCCTCCATCCTCTGGTTCACTCCCCAGATGGCTGCAATGGCCAGAGCTGAGCTGATCTGAAGCCAGGAGCCAGGAGCTTCTTCTGGGTCTCCCACGCGGGTGCAGGGGCCCCAGGACTTGCGCCATCTTCTACTGCTTTCCTAGTCCACAGCAGGGAGCTGGATCAGAAGTGGGTCAGCTGGGACTCGAACCAGTGTCCATAGGAGATGCCGGCACTGCAGGCGGCAGCTTTTCCTGCTATGCCACAGTGCCGGCCCCCCTTTGGCTGCTTTTAATACTTTTTCTTTGAGCAACTGACGATGCGCCATGGTGTCATTTTCTTCATCATGTATGTGTCTGAGCACATGAGCTTCTTGTATCCCTGAGTTTGGAGTTTCATCAAGTTTGGACAGTTGGGGGCCGTTTCGTACATCTTTTTTCTGTCTCCTCCTTTTCCTCTCCTTCGGGGGTTCTTATCACACACACACACACACACACACAGCAGGCAGACATGCACACTGGCACACATGAACACACACACAGGCAGACATGCACACAGGCACACATGAACACACACACAGGCAGACACAGATGCACAGACACACAACAGGCAGACACACAGATACAGGCACCACAGGTGTGCACACACGGGCACCACAGGTGTGCACACACGGGCACCACAGGTGCGCACACACGGGCACCCACGCACGCTATCTAGCATCTTGGTCATGCTCTCTTCATGTTTTGGTTTCTCTCTGGTTTCGTGTCTCGGTTTCTGTCGCTCACCCTCAGGCTCCAGCACCTTTCCTTCTTCGTTTCTGTCCCATCATGCAGCTCTCCCAGGGTGTGTTCCACCTCAGACATTGTAGTCTTCATACGTTCACTTTAGGTCTTTATTTTCTTTTAAACATATTGTTTGTTTATTTGAAAGGCAGAGTGACGGGGTGGGGGAAAGATAGTCTGCCTACCATCTGCTGGTTCATTCCGCAAATGGCCACAGTGGCCAGGGCTGAGCCAAGGGGAAGCCAGGAGCCTGGAGCTCCATCCGGGTCTCCCACGTGGGTGCAGGGACCAGGCACGGGGCCATCGTCCACTGCTTTCCCAGGCCACAGCAGGGAGCTGGATTGGAAGTGGAGCTGCCGGACCGGAGCTGCTGCTCACATGGGTGCTGCCAGTGGCTTAACCCATGGAGCCACAGTGGCCCTCAGTTTAGGTCTTTAAAAAAATTTCATTTATTTATATGAGAGGCAGAGTGTTGTAAAGAGAAAGATCTTGCACATACTTGTTCATTCCCCAAATGGCCTCAACAGCCAAGGCTGGGCCAAGCCCAAACCAGCTGCCTGGAATGTGGGTGCAGGGCCCCACTCTCCGAGCCGTCACCTGATGCCTCTCAGGCACCTTAGCAGGAGGCCAGGTGAGAAGCAGAGGCAGGAGTCTATTCTAGGCACCCAGATGAGATGCACCTGCCCCCAGATCTTTATAAAATGCATACGGATCTCTTCCACGGACATGAGGAATAACACCGACAGTAATTTTTAATGTCCTCTTCTAAGGTGGGCGTTGTGGCACAGCAGGCTTGGCTGCTGCTTAAAATGCCCATGTCCAATATCTGAGGGCTGGCCACTCTGCTTCCAGTCCAGCCCCTGCTAATGCACCTGGGAAAGCAGCAGAGGACGGCCCTGCCACCCGCGTGGAGACCAGAATGAAGCTCCTGGCTCCTGGATTCGGCCTGGCCCAGCCCTGGCTGTTGCAGCCATGTGGGGAGTGAACCAGTGGATGGAAGACTCTCTCTCTCTCTCTCTCTCTCTCTCTCTCTCTCTCTCTCTCTCTCATGCTTGATGGTGGCACGGGGGAGTATGTGGGAGAGGGAGGCAGTGGCAGCAAGCAGGCAGCCCGAGCGCCTTGCACTTAGTCTGGAAGGTCGCTCGTGGTTTTCCTGTTTTCCCCATCTTCTATGAAATGGCCTGTTAGGGCGGCTTTCACCGACATGGGACCGCTCCTTGAGCGCTGTGGACGTCTCTGTGTCCAGCTTAGCTTTTTAGGCCCGGGGGGGGGGGGGGCGGTATTTGTTTCTTCCAATAGTCTTAGCTCCGGGTGAGGTGGCCCAGACGTCTTTCCTTTCCGCCCTGGGGGTGGGTGTTTCTGACTTGGCTACTGATTTCCTTCTTCCTCTTCGCCCAGGGCTCGGAGACCCTGATGGGACTCCCTAAGCGCAGAAGGCAGCCATCCTTGACAGCCAGTGACCTGGCTCCAGGCGGGGCCTCCGCCAAGCATCCCAGTGCCGAGCAGGCTCTGGGTTTGGCTGGAGGATTTGGCCCAGATCAGACCATCTCGGCCTCCAGCGGTGCGGGGCAGCCATCTGCCATCGCCAGCGGGGAGCAAGTCCGGGGCCTCCCTGGAAGAGAACAGCAGCCAAGGGCGCACGAGGAAGCTGGTACTGCGCGGTCCCAGCAGCCTCCTGGATCTCAGGTCAGAGCAGAGGCGGAGCAGCGCGGGGGCCGAGAGCAGCTGAGCCCAGCACATCCACGGAGAGACAGAGACGAGCGCGCCGCACAGCCAGGCCCGCAAAGGCAAGGGTACAGTGGGCTGCCCTTGAGCCAGGGTCAGGTCTACCTGGGGCCAGACCATCACGGACTAGGGGCGCCCGGCATGGGCCAGCCTGCATTACACCCCAGCACCGGTCCACGTGGTGTGGTACCCCGCAGGGTGGGTCAGCTTGGTGTGCTCCCACCCAGCCTCAATGACCTGGACTCGGCACTCGTTGGCGTGGATCAGCACGGTGTGATGCCACCATCAGTAGATGGCAGAGACCAACAAGGATTGGAACTACCTGGTGCAGACCAACACGGCATTGTTCCATTCGGCACATACCAGCATCATTTGGCATTTCCCAGCACAGACCAACGGAGTGTGGCACAGCCTGGCATGGAGGAGGGTGGCATGGCACCGCTGAGCGCAGATCAGCAAGGATTGGTACGGCCCGGCCTAGATCAACACGGCTTTGTCGCGCCTCTTACCTATCAGCACGGCTTGGTGCCACCTGGGTTGGTGCCTTTCAGTGCAGATCAGCAAGGTTTGGTACGGCCCAGTTTGGAAGTATCGAGTGTCATACAACCTGGCGTGAATCAGCATAATTTGACCCAGCCCGGCAGAGACCAGCGTGGTTTGGTGCAGCCTGGAGCATACCTGCCAGGTTTGGTGCAGCCTGGAGTGGGTCAGCCTGGTTTGGTGCAGCCTGGAGTGGGTCAGGGTAGTTTGGTGCAGCCTGGAGTGGGTCAGCGTGGTTTGGTGCAGCCTGGAGTGGGTCAGCCTGGTTTGGTGCAGCCTGGAGTGGGTCAGCGTGGTTTGGTGCAGCCTGGTGCCCATCTGCCTGGTTTGGTGCAGCCTGGTGCCCATCTGCCTGGTTTGGTGCAGCCTGGAGTGGGTCAGCCTGGTTTGGTGCAGCCTGGTGCATATCCGCCTGCTTTGGTGCAGCCTGGAATGTATCAGCGTGGTTTTGTGCAGCCTGGTGCCCATCTGCCTGGTTTGGTGCAGCCTGGAGTGTATCAGCATGGTTTGGTGCAGCCTGGTGCATATCCGCCTAGTATGGTGCAGCCTGGTGCATATCCGCCTAGTATGGTGCAGCCTGGAGTATATCCACATGGTTCGGTGCAGCCTGGCACAGATCAGTATGGTTCGGTGCAGCCTGGTGTAGATCAGTATGGCTTGGTGGAGCTTGGAGCAGACCAGCCTGGTTTGGTGGAGCCTGGAGCAGACCAGCCTGGTTTGGTGGAGCCTGGAGCGGATCAGCCTGGTTTGGTGGAGCCTGGAGTGGATCAGCCTGGTTTGGTGGAGCCTGGAGTGGATCAGCCTGGTTTGGTGGAGCCTGGAGTGGATCAGCCTGGTTTGCAGCCTGGTGCATATCCACGTGGTTTGGTGCAGCCTGGTGCGTATCCACGTGGTTTGGTGCAGCCTGGTGCATATCCACGTGGTTTGGTGCAGCCTGGTGTGTATCCACGTGGTTTGGTGCAACCTAGAATGTATCCACGTGGTTTGGTGTACCCTGGAATGTATCCACGTGGTTTGGTGCAGCCTGGAATGTATCCACGTGGTTTGGTGCAGCCCGGCACAGATCAGCATGGTGTGGTGCAGCCTGGAATGAATGAGCTTGGTGTGGTGCAGCCTGGTGTGGATCAGCATGGTTTGGCACAGCCTGGTGTGGATCAGCATGGTTTGGCACAGCCTGGAGTGGATCAGCATGGTTTGGCACAGCCTGGTGTGGATCAGCATGGTTTGGCACAGCCTGGAGTGGATCAGCATGGTTTGGCGCAGCCTGGTGCAGATCAGCATGGTTTGGCACAGCCTGGTGGGGATCAGCAAGGTTTGGCGCAGCCTGGTGCGGATCAGCATGGTTTGGCACAGCCTGGAGTGGATCAGCATGGTTTGGCGCAGCCTGGTGCAGATCAGCGTGGCTTGGCGCAGCCTGGAATGTATCCGATGTATCCGCGTGGTCTGATGCACCCTGGGATGTATCGGCCTGGTTTGGTGCAGCCTGGTGCAGATCAGCATGGTTTGATGCAGCCCAGAATGTATCCACGTGGTTTGGTGCAGCCTGGAATGGATCAGCGTGGTTCAGTCCAGCCTGGTGCAGATCAGCGTGGTTTGGAACAGCCTGGAACAGATGAGAGTGGTTTGGTGCAGCCCGGTGCAGATCAGCATGAGTTGGTACAACCTGGATTGGATCAACGTGGTTTGGTGCAGCCCGGTGCAGATCAGCATGAGTTGGTACAACCTGGATTGGATCAACGTGGTTTGGTGCAGCCTGGTGCGGATCAGCATGGTTTGGTTCAGCCTGGCACAGATGAGAATGGTTTGAGTCAACGTGCTGCAGAAGAGAGTGGTTTGGTGCAACCTGGCACAGATCAGCATGGCTTGGTCCAACCTGGTGTGGATCAGCAAGGTTTGGTTCAGCCCGGTGCAGGTCAACTTGGTATGGTGCAACCTGGAGTGGATTGGCATGGTCTGGGGCGGCCTAGTGCATATCCCCGTGGTTTGGCACGACATGGTGCCTATCCCCCATCTGTTTTGGGACAAACCAGCACAGATCAGCATGTTCCGGTGCAACCTGGTGCATATCCACACGGGTTTGCCCAGCCTACAGTGGATCAGTATGGCTTGAGACAGCTGGGTCCAGGTCGGCAGGGCTTGGTGGCTCCAGGCACAGCAGTTCGCGACTTCCCTGCAATCCAGGCTGATTTTCGGATTGTGCCACCATACCAGTATCAGCATGGTGTGCCACCCCTTGCCAGAGAGTTACATGGCCAAGTGCCACCGCTTCTAGCCAGTCAAGGTTTGGCACCACCAGGTATAGACCAAAGGGGTTTAGTACCACCAGAAACTTACTGGCAAGGTTTGGTGCACCCTGGCACAGACCAGCATGGCCCGACACCAGTAAGCACAGGGTTGGAGTCTGCACACCCAGATCAAGGGCATTTGGCACCACCTGGGCCAGATCGGCAGCACCAGGTAACCGCAGGAGCAGCTCTGCACGGTCACGCGCAAGCTCCCTCAGACTACGGGGGGCCCACGTATCCTGGTTACAGGGGCCCAGTGTACTCGGGTGTCGATCGGCACAGGCAGGATCCACACAGAATTCCTGTCTCAAGCCAGCCTGGAGTTCCTGTCCAGACAGGCCCCGGGCAGGATGGGACCTTTCTCAGGAGTCGCGACTCCCTTAGCTATCTCGGCAGAGCCTCGGCGGACGGCGCGCGGCGCGACTCTCTGGATAAAGTGGCTCCAAGCTTCCCCATAGCGGTGGAGACGTTCCGTCTGATGGGGGAGCTCCTTGCGCTCTACGCGGAGCTCAAGGAGAGCCTGAGGGAGCTGGATGAGGAGCAGGCCGGCCAGACCGACCTGGAGAAGATACAGCACCTGCTGTCCCAGATGGGTGGGTGCCGCGTGCGCGCGCAGACCGCTGCTCGCCCCGCGTCCAGTGAGGCCTTTCCTGTTCCCTCCCTGGCCCCAACTCCTGGCTGCGGGGGCTTCCTCTCCTGAGACTCTGAAAACAGCAGAACCCGTCCTTAGTCATCCTGGGCTCTCCAGCAGCCTGTGGGGTCCAGAGGAATGGGGGGAAATGGAGGCCGGGGGACTGATGGAGCGGATCCTGGTGCCCTCGCCGAGGCTTCCCCATGGGAGCTGCGGGAGGTCTGGGGCACAGGGAAGCGGCAGCACTGGGAGGTAGGCGGGAGGAAGGGCGCTGCAGTGGGAAACGTCACATGTGCCCATTCACAACTTTCGGCCCAGGAGTATTTCAGATTTTAATGGCGGGCCAGGGTCCCAAGGCCCCGTGGAGTGTGGCGCAGTCAGTGGGTGTCCCAGGGGCTGCTCTTCCCACCTGCTCGCCAAGGTCTCCGGGGGAGGCAGCGCGACACAGTGACCTGTCCTGCTCTCGGGGGGAGTTTCACTGTTGCCGGGGCTGGGAGTGGAGACGGAGAGCCCACTGGACACCCAACTCCCTGATTCCTCACAGTCAAAAAGATCGTTCCCCCTGACCTGCAAGAACAGATAAAGGGCTTGAAGGCTTTGGCCAAAGAATTTCGGCAGGAAAAGGCGAAGGTGAGTACGGGAGAGCCCATCTGCCGTGGTCCCGGGGCTCCTGGGCACTTGCGTGGGAGTCTCGATGGGTCACGCGGTCGTTTCCCACCCGCCATCATCTCTGCGGTCCTGGCAGAGCGGATGTGGACACCAGGCATCGCCACGTGCATCTCCTGGGTCTGAAAACTGGCGCTCAGAGCTGTTAGGATTCATCTGAGCCGGACAAGGACGTTAGCCCTTTCGTTACCTGCGCAGCCTCAGATCCCAGCCTGTGGCACCTCCCGGGGCTGGAGGCTGTGGCAAGCGGCCACTGCGGCTTCAGCCATCCGCTTAATGCCAGCCCCGTCTGCATCCGTGGGAGGGAAGCCGGGAGGGGACGCCGCACAGGTGCATGGACAAATCGACGTGCAGGAGGGACCTAGACTTGGGCGAGGGGTGGGCGAGGGGCGGGGAATGGGGGCGGGGCTGGTTTGGGCAGGCGGGGCTGGTTTGGGCAGCCGGGGCGCATCGGAAGCGGGAAGCTGCCTGACCGCCTTCTTCTGTTGGGCTGGTAGCTGGAGAAGATACAAAGGATGATGGAGGGCGATGGGGAGCAGGAGTCGGGGAAGGAGGTCAGGAACGGGCAGCTGAGCCTGCAGCTGGGCATCCTCAGGTGAAGCCCCCGGCACAGTGCAGCCTCCGCTCAGCCCAGGAGCCAACAGTGGCCTTGGCGTGCCCACTGTCCTTGGCCTGACTCGCGTGTGTTCTTCAGGGTGTCCACGTCCAGCTCCAGGACCCGGTCCAAGTCCCCCGGGTCCCTCCAACAGCACAGCTCCGGGGCTTGGGCGAGCAGGAGGGGGCGCCCTGGGCTCTGTGCCCCCTTGGCCACTTGCTGGAGCCACTCGGAGCCCTGTCTGCAGTGCTCTGCCCCACTGCCTGGAAGCTGCTCGGGCCAGCACGGCGGGTGCCCACCTCTGGGGTCCCTAGACAGAGCCTGCTGGGGTGGCGGTGGTGAATGACCCGCCCGAGTCCCTGCTGGCCGGGTCCCTGCACGGGTGGGCTGGGGTGGTTCCTGCTGCGGTGGAGCCAGGCGGTCTCCTGTCGCGCCGCAGAGTGACCGTGGCTGACATTGAGAAGGAGCTGGCCGAGCTGAGAGAGAGCCAAGAGCAGGGCAAGGCCATCATGGAGAATTCGGTGTCTGAAGCGTCTTACTACCTGCAGGATCAGGTGGGGAGTCCGCCCTCAGACCCAGGGACCAAGGGCTCTTCTCAGATGGGCTGCAGGGGGTGGGGGCCCCTCATTCCCCCTTGGTGTGTGTGTGTTTGGGGGAGGACAGCTGTGCCTAAGATTCAGCCCCCTCCCAGTGCATGGGCAGGTGCACCTGTTCCCACCGGCCAGGAATGAGGCCCATCTCCCACTAAAGCTCTTTCTTCTTAGATAATTCATAGCCGCCCTTGTAAAGTGCACGTGGGGCTTTGATGCATTCGCAACGTTGTGCAGCCATCGCCACGATCCAATTCCAAAACCTTTTCCAACCCCCGCCCCGCCCCCACCCCCGACTCGGCTCTCCACTGGGGCCGGTCATTAGCGCTGAGGGGCTGGGGTGGGGGCACACGGCGGGGAGCAGGGTGGGCAGGCACAGCAGGCTCCCCGAGAGAGGTCTGTGCCTGCCCAGCCCGTGAGAGCCACTGTGCTGACATCGGCACGTTTCCTGTTGCTTTATGGTGGGCTCTGTCCGTGCTGGGGAAGGGGCGTCCCCCTCCCGTCCCACGGCCTCTGGAGAAACACCTGATTTAGCGTCTGAGGGCCCTGCTCGCTATTTCAAGGCCCCGCCGAGCGCGCAGCGGGGGCCACCCGCTCCGCAAGGCGCTGGCGTGCGGTGACTGCCCGCGGAGCAGAGGCAGAGGCACCGCACTGGCAGCGCCTGCCTGGGCAGAACATGGCCGCCCCTCTGCCCCGCCCCCAGCTGGACAAGCTCCGGACCATCATCGAGAGCATGCTGGCCTCCTCCTCCACCCTGCTGTCCATGAGCATGCCCTCCCGCAAGGCCCCGGTCACCTCGGCGCCTGGCCAGATCGACCCCGAGGCCACCTGCCCAGCCTGCAGCCTGGACCTGAGCCACCAGGTCAGCCTGCTGGTGCAGCGCTATGAGCAACTCCAGGACATGGTCAACAGCCTGGCCGCCTCCCGGCCCTCCAAGAAGGCTAAGCTCCAGAGCCAGGTGAGCGTCCCAGGGACACAGCCCCCGGGGCCTGCTGCAGCCCAGGTCAGCTCGACCCACCGAAGCCCCGGGGTCCTTCCACGGGGGCACAGCGAGGGCAGCTGAGCCAAAATGGCTCCGGGGACAGGAGCTGGCTCCCTGGGTGGGGCAGGGACACCCCTCCCCTTGCCTTCCCTCACCCTCACCCTTCCCCCTCTAGGCCCATGGTGGAGGCGGGGACAGCCACAAGTCCAGGGGTCCTGCCTCTCGGACACAGCCTTTCAGATTTGGCCCAGGGCACTGAGGCAGGGGGCAGGGCTGTCCAGGAAGGCTGTGGCCCCAGCCCAACTCCCAGGGGTCCCAGACCACTTCCACTGCTGCAGGGACACCCAGCAGCGGGCCAGGCCCCTCGGGTTTTGTCCATGGGGTGGGGGGGGGCTCTGTGGGCGTCCTCTTGGGGGGCCCACAGGGGTGGGTGCAGAATCTTTCCCACCAGAGTCTGCTGAGAAGAGCCAGACGGGCCTGCCGTGAGCTAATCTACTGGGCGACGTTTCAAGGGGGGAGGGGGCGTACTGCGGGTCAGTCTGGCAGCAGCCCCAGAGCCTCCTCGCACCCCGTCTCCCCTCGCCGGCAGGACGAGGAGCTCCTGGGCCACGTGCAGAGCGCCATCCTGCAGGTGCAGGGCGACTGTGAGAAGCTCAACATCACCACCAGCAACCTCATCGAGGACCACCGGCAGAAGCAGAAGGACATCGAGGTAAGCGGCGGGCGGGGCGCTGCCGACGCCGACGCCGACGCCGACGCCGCCCCCCCGCAGGGCCGCCCGTCACTGTCCCCTCCCCCCAGATGTTGTACCAGGGTCTGGAGAAGCTGGAGAAGGAAAAGGCCAACAGGGAGCACCTGGAGATGCAGATCGACGTGGTAGGCGCCTCGCCGACCGTTCCGCACGGGGGGCCTGGCGGAGGGGAGCTGGGGGGGGTGACGTGGACTCCCAGATCCCTGCCTGGAGTCGGGGACCCACACCTCCGGGCGAAACGGGCCCCCTTGGAGGCTCTCGCCCAGGTCAGGGGCCTCCCCGCTCTCTCCGGCCAGAAAGCCGACAAGAGCGCCCTGGCAGCCAAAGTGAGCCGCGTCCAGTTCGACGCCACGACGGAGCAGCTGAACCGCATGATGCAGGAGCTGGTGGCCAAGATGAGCGGGCAGGAGCAGGACTGGCAGAAGATGCTGGACAAACTCCTGCTGGAGATGGACAGCAAGGTGGGGCGGCTGCGGGTGGACGCCCCACCCCGGGCCAGAGCCGCCCCGCCTTCCCCCGCTCACCTGGGCCCCTCCCCCCGCCCAGCTGGACCGCCTGGAGCTGGACCCGGTGAAGCAGCTGCTGGAGGACCGCTGGAAATCGCTGCGGCAGCAGCTCAAGGAGCGCTCGCCGCTCTACCAGGCCGACGAGGCCGCGGCCATGCGGCGGTGAGGCTGGGGCGCCCACACAGCCGTGCTGCCTGGGCGTCCCACCGAGGGCTTGCAAGGCTCCTGCAGCTCAGGCCCCTCTGTATTACAGCCCAGAAGGGGGGTGGGGAAGGTTTAGGGCTCTCTGGGCTCGGCTGGGCTGGGCTACACGGGTCCTTTGGGACCCCCCAGGGCTGAGATGGGGACCGGGCCTGTGGTGGGCTTGAATGCCAGGATTCCCACTCACGGCCACCAGGGGGCCCCCCAGGCCTACACAGGGCACCCTCAGGGGTTCTTGGGAACCCAGCAGGCTTTGGGTTCTCGTGGGGCCCTGCAGCATGTGTGCCTGGCAGCGGGTGAGTTCCCGGGAGCAGGTCCCAGATCTGCCAGCCCTGGGGACCCCCAGCTCTGCCCACGGGGACCCTCTGGGCGGGACTCACCCTCATCTTGGTCCATTCCTAACAGGCAGCTCCTGGCACATTTCCACTGCCTCTCGTGTGACCGTCCCCTGGAGACACCTGTGACTGGACAGTGAGTGCCAGCCCTCACCCCTGTCCTCCCCTTCTCCGGCCACCTGGGTCTCGGCCCCTCCCGGGCGGGGCCCAGCCAGGGGACGCTGGAGAAGGAGAGACGTGGGGAGAGATTGGGGTACGACTCACCCCTCCTCTTCTCTCCCTGCGCCTGCCTAGAATGATCCCCGTGACACCTCTGGGCCCCAGCCTGCCCGGGCACCGTTCCATCCGCCCCTACACAGTGTTTGAGTTGGAGCAGGTCCGGCAGCAGAGCCGCAGGTATGGGATAGCGGGGGCCTGGGGGGCTCTGTGCAGGCCGATGAGGCGGTGCAGGCCCCAGGAGGCCCTGGCAGGCCGTGACCACAGAGGGCGCTCTGAGGGCCAGCACGCAGGGCCTGCTGCGGTGGCTGGACACTAGACCGGTTCCCTTCTTTCTTTTTAAAGATACATTTACTTATTTACATGAAGGGAGACGGAGAGAGGTCTTCCATCTGCTGGTTTGCTCCCCAGGTGCCCACACAGCTAGGCCTAGGCCAGGCTGAGGCCATGGGCCAGGAACTCCATCCGAGTCTCCCACATGGGTGGCAGGGACCCAAGTACTTGGGCCACCACCTGCCGCCTTCCCCAGGCGCGTGAGCAGGGAGCTGGATCAGAAATGGAGCAGCCAAGACTTGGACTGGCGCTCCGATGTGGGATGCCGGCGTTTCAGGCAGCCGCTTAACCCCTGCGCCACACCGCCGGCCCCACGCGGCTGACTGCTGGGCCACAGCCCTGGCCCTTCCCAGGGCGGGGGTCCCCAGAAGATCCGCTAGTACCCTGCGGCACTGTCCCCACTGTGAGCTGCCGTGGGGCTTTGCCCAGGGCTCGGCCACCCTCGGGGGCTCCTCTGCCTCCCTTCCTCCTCGGGCCAGCTCTAGCGCTCTCAGCAACCGTGGGTCTGCAGGGGCAGGGTCGAGCTCCCAGCGAGAGGTGGGCCCCGCCTGGGAGGGGCCTGGTAGTGGGCAGGCGTCACGCTCCCCCGCACTCCAGCCCCTTCTCTGACCCCCACCCTCTAACATGGGCGCACAGAACATGGAGCCCCTGGGATTCCTGGTGGGTGGGGTGACTAAAGCAACAGGGAGAGGCTAGGGCTGACCTCCGCTCCTGCACCCCTTTGCCGTCTGCACCCTCCCACCTGAAGGAAACCCTGCCTGGCGGGCTGGCCCCTCGCGCCTTTCCCGGGTGTCGGCTGCGCCCTCGCTGGGTCCTGCCTAACAAGAGGCCGCGAAGACACCGCTGACCGGGGTGAAGAAGCGGGGTGCCCCCAGGGCCCCGTCCCACCCCGGGCTGACCGTCCCTCCACCTGCCCGCGCCCCACAGCTTCAAACTGGGCAGTGGCTTCCCTCGGGGTGACCTGTCGCAGACGGAGCGCAGCGTGCGGCGCCTGCGCTCCATGCACTCCAAGATGCTGATGGACATCGAGAAGGTGCAGATCCACTTTGGAGGCTCCACCAAGGCCAGCAGCCAAATGATCCGAGAGCTGCTGCAGGCCCAGTGCCTCAGCTCCCCCTGCTACAAGCGGTAGGCGGCCGGGGCCGGGCTTGGCTTCCGCCCACTCATGGCCCGCGAGCCAGTGCCTCACCCGCGGCGGGGGGCTCTGCTCCCTCACCCACCTTCATGCTGCCCTGACTCCCAGGGCCCCTCAAGAGCTGTCCACTCCCCTCTGACGGCTCCACCCCCAGGGTGTCCTGGGCCTCGCCCCTGGCGGCTCTGAGCGACTCTTTGCCATCCATAGGATGCCAGATGTGGCCGATTACACCTACTCAACCATGCCCCGGCGCTGCGGGGGCAGCCACACGCTCACCTATCCCTACCGCCGCAACCGCCTGCAGCACCTGTCCCAGGGCCTGTACCCCGCCGAGGAGGTCCAGATCGCCATGAAGGTCGGGGGACCCCCCCCCCAGTGCCCAAGTCATTCTGGGAAAGCCAGCAAAAGTCTCCCCACCCAGCCCCTGCCTCAGGGCGGTTCCTTCCTTCCTTCCAAGATTTATTTATTTGAAAGGCAAAGTTACAGAGAGACAGACACAGAGATCTTCCACCTGCTGGCCGGGCTGCGCCAGGCCAAAGCCAGGAACCAGGAACTTCGTCTGGGTCTCCCATGTGGGTGCAGGTCCCCAGCACTCAGGCCATCTTCCACTGCTTTCCCAGTCACTGGCAGGGAGCTGGATCGGAAGTGGAGCAGCCAGCTCATGAACCAGCGCCCATGTGGGATGCTGGCGTCACAGGCAGCGGCTTAGCCCACTAAGCCACAACACCGGTCCTGTCAAGGTGGTTTCTTAATCAGACCCACGTCTGTCCTGCTGACCCAGACCATGGCCCTGGCTACCTGCCCACCCAGCCCTACCACCTCTTTCTGCTCTGCCCTGTGCCACTCAGTCCCTGGGACTGTTTGGTGGCAGGGGTCAGTCCTGGAGGCGGGAGGGCAGGGCAAGCCCTGGGTGTGACCATGGTGATGAGCACGTGGGCACCTCTGCAGCACGATGAGGTGGACATCTTGGGCCTGGATGGACACATTTACAAGGGACGGATGGATACAAGACTGCCGGGCATCATAACCAAGGAAGGTGAGTGCCAGGGAGCAGGGACCTCCACGTCCTGGGAGGCCGGGCACTTCTCTGGACCTCCACACCCCGGGTGCCCACCTTCTCTACGTCTCTGACTCCGAGCCTCTGGGTCTCTCCAAAAGACGCTGGGTACGTTTGCAGGTGGGGGCAGCTGGCCAGCGTCAGCCAACGGGCTGGCACCTGGCAGCCCCCTCTTTGCTCACCAGCCTCGCTCTCCCACCTCTCTGCCTCTGTTCCCATCGTCCACCTGGCCAAGCCCTACTCTTACTCAAACTCAGCAAAACACCCTCTGCTGAGCCCACCCCGTGCCCTGAAGTCCACTTCCAGTTCCCCTGACCTGCAGGGAGCTGCTGCCCCTTCCCAGCATGCACTGTCCTGGCTAGACCCTCCCCTTGGGCCTGGAAAGCCCAGGGCCGAGCTCCCCAGCGTCTGGTCTGGTGCGGGGCTGACACGTTGTGGGTCCCCCGGGAGCATGTGAGTGGGCGGGCGGGCCTGGGAATGACCCAGGTGCCCGGAAGGGGCCTAGCCACACATTCAGACCGCGTCAGCCCTCTCCCGCCCCCAGCAGTCCCCTAGAGCTCCCCCGCCCCCCACCCCGTGTCTCAGAACCGACCCCTCGCTCCACTGCCCCCCCACCCCCGGTTGCAGGGCTGTCGTCCAAGCACAAGCCCAAGCTGTCCCGGCCCCACGTGCACAGGCAGCAGTCCCTGAGCGACAGCAGCCAGCCGCCCTCCCGGCCTCAGAGCGCGCAGACCCTGGCAGGCAGCCACCCAGGTAGCTTCCTTCCGCGCGGCCTGGGCACTGCCGCTGTGCCGCCCCTTCCTGCCTGGGCTGCTTTAGACTCCGTTTCCCTGAAGACAGGAAGGTCGGGAGGGAGAAGAGAGAGAGTGGGTTCCGGCTGCCTGACTGACACACCGCAGGGCTGCGGGGCGGGCTCCTGCTGGCCCCAGTTCAGGGGAGGAAATGGGGCGGAGTGCACCCCGCACTCTGTGGCTCCAGGCCCTGGCCCTGCCCCCGTCTGCAGTGCCGACTCCTGGAGGGGTGCTTGTGGCCCCCAGAGTTCAGCCCCCAGACCCTGGGGCCCCTGCTGGGGCCTGGACCCAGGAGGCCTCCTGCCAGGGACTGAGCAGGCCTCGCCGCTCTCCTCACCTGTTCCCTCCTGTCACCAGGAGTGCTGGCTTAGGGCCCCTAAGCTTAGGTCCCCTGTGACAACCGCGTAAGGGCTGACCCCCGGGCTGCTGGACGGATGCGCCCACAGCACCTTGCAGGAGGTTCCAGGGCGCCCTGGGGCCTGCACATCACCATCCTCCCACCCAGCACTCGAGCGCCTGTGGCTGAGGGAGGCGTGAATCCACGGGTGGTTACCGTGCTCGGGCCTCCGGCGAGGGCTCCCCACACACCACGCACTGCTTAGGAGATCAACATTTAGCAACCTTTTTTTTTTTTTTTAATGGTTTATTTGAAAGGCAGAGTTAGAGAGGGAGGGAGAGAGAGAGAGAGAGAGACTGATCTTCCGTCTGCTGGTTCAGTCCCCAGATGGCTGGGGCTGGGCTAGGTCAAAAAGCCAGGAGCCTGGAGCTCCATCCGGGTCTCCCACGTGGGTGCAGGAGCCCAAGCCCTTGGGCCATCCTCTGCTGCCTTCCCAGGTGCATTGGCAGGGAGCTGCATGGGAAGTGGAGCAGCCGGGACTCGAACCGGTGCTCATATGGGATGCCGGCATCACAGGCAACAGCTTGCCCTGCTGTGCCTCGATGCCGGCCGTTTAGGAACCAATTTTAAGTCACACGCTTAAGAGGTAAAGGGACCGTTGTTTGCCCCACTTACAGCTGGGAAGACTGAGGCACAGAGAGCTCAGGGCACTTGCCATGATCACAGAGCTGGAAGTCAGCCAAGCTGAGAATTATGGGCTGAAGTAGAGGGTCTCTGATTTTCTGGGGTGGGGAGCAGGGGCACTTAGCTCCTTTCTCCCAGGCACCCTGCTGCCCACTCCCAGGGCACTGCTGTTGTCAGGGATTTCCCACGCCTGTGCACCCACCCATGGTCCCAGAGCCAGCGCTACCACGGGGGTAGGCCCTGGGCGGCTGTGGGTTTACTTCCTCATTTTTCATTCACAAAGCCTAAAGGGGCCTCAACTCGGGAGCTTGAGGAGAGCCCGCCCTGCATGTCCAGGCTCCGGGGGCCTCTGTCGGCTTCCGTGGGCCCTGGGCGAGCTGGAGGGGCCCTCGGTGGGCCTGCGGGGCCAGGCCGAGCGAGCTCAGCCCCTCCTGTTTTGCAGTTTCTTTGCGACAACAGGACAGACCGGTCTCCTCCCAGGGCCGGCTCTCCGAGTCGAACGTGGTCCCCCCCCTCAGCTCCTCGGACGCGGCGGCCCTGCCGGGGCTGCAGAGGCGCCTGGACGTGCCTCCCGGGGAGGGCCTCGAGGAGCCCACGCGGGGGCCGCGCTCCACCCCTGCCCACTGAGCAGAGCTATAAATAAATATTTCAGAAGAGGCGGGGTCTGGGCGCCTGACGGTCCGGGCGGGGAGATGGGCGGGAGGCCGCCCCAGGGCCAGCGTGGCCCCTCTTCTGGAAGAGGTCTGGTCTGGAGCCGATCTGAGGGTGCTGGGCTTACCCTGCAACCCATCAGCTCTGGTGCCGCTGCCCGCCGGGCTTCAGCCCTGCATTCTACTCCAGGGGGCTGAGAGTGGTCCCAGTCTGGGCAGTTGGGACCCCTGTACCCTGGAGGTGAGGGCGGCAGCTGCCTGCTGCAGGCTCGGGGGTCCCAGGCAAACCCTGAGCCCCTGGGCAGGTTTCCGTCTGCCCGGAGCAGAGACAGCGGGGGCCTGGAAGCCACCCCTAGGCAGACCAGGGGCTGCAGGGGCCACTGGTGTTTCCCTCCTCCCTGGAAGGAGAGGAGAGGGGTGGACAGTGGAGGCCTGGTCTCGCGCCAGCCCTTGGGCGGCTCATTCTGCTCACCGGCACAGCCGGCCCACACCTGCCAGTGAGGGCTCCCTGCTGCCCCAGCCCCTAGTGTGAAGGTGGGAGGGGACAGCGAGGGCTGTGGGACTGGCTGCGGCCGGTGTGGTGACAGTACAGACCCCAGCGGCCCCCCACCTGCCTGAGCTTGGGCCTTCAGCCAGAGTCTCAAGGTCTGCACGGGCCCTGACAGCGGCCCCCTTCCTGAGCCCTGGAAAACCCTCAGTCATGAGAACTGGGTGGCCTGGTTGGTTTCTTTTTGCCTCAGGTCTGTCCTCAAGTGGCTCCCTCCTCAGAGGGAGGGAAGTGCCCAGGGCCAGAGCTGGGGCTCCCCCCACCCCCAGTTTGCACCCCTGACATGGGAAAGGGGTGCTCTGGGTGTGAGAGGGGCGACAGAATCACACAGGAAAGAGCGGCAGGAAACAGCCTAGAAACCAGGTAGTGGCGGTAGTGGCTAGGGCGCCGGGGGAGGCTGGGGGGGGGGTTCCCCTGCACACACACACACCCCTCGTGATCTGCTGGGATCCTGTGAGTCTGGTTCTGTGTGTGTGTGTGTGTGTGTGTGTGTTAAAGTGTCTGAGGGAAAGGCAGGGAAACACGGAACTCCCACCCACTGGGTCACTCCCCAGATGGCCACAACAGCCAGGGCTGGGCCAGGCTGAAGTCAGGGAGTCAGGAGCTCCATCCAGGTCCCCCAGGTGGGCAGCAGGGACCCAATTACTTGAGCCACCACCGCTGCCCAACCAGGCTGTGCATTATGAAAGCTGGAGCCCGGAGCCAGGAACTGAACCCAGGCGCTCCGCTCCGGCCTGTGGGACCCACGCGTGGGCGAAGCATCGGCTCCCCAAGTCTCAGTGACGCTTTGACGCGGTGGCCGCACAGGCAGAGGTGCCCAGGTGGGCACCCCACACTGCCCTCTCCTTAGTGGGCAAGAGGCAGGGCCAGCCCCTCCTCCATCCCAGCTCCTGTTTCTCTCACTCAGGCCCCACCCCAGGCCCTGAAATGTCAGAAGCTCGTCTCAGTTTCCCTGGTCCCGAAGCCAAATTTGCCGGCTTGGCAGGGCTGAGCAGCAGGAGGGGCCGACCACCCCTCCCCCCCACCCACGCAAGGGCCAGGAGGGACATTCACCAAACCAGCCCCCACCATGCCTGCACCTGCGAGCCCAGGGCCCTGCAGCCTGATCGCCCACGTGCCTGCCAGGGGCTGCCCCTTCCAGCTTGGGAAGGCACAGGTGGGTGACAGCGAGGGGGAGGCTCCGGGGAGCCCAAGAGGTTCCCAGTGCGGAAACAAAACTGAAAGGACAAACCCAGCTCCAAAGTACATCGGTGTGTCACACGCAGGGGACGGGGCCACTGGCGCCACGTCCTGTTCCCCCAAAAGGAGGGGTTGCCCCAGAAGCAACGTGAGAAGGGGTGGGGGTGGCTGCCGGGCTGGGCCCCTCTCAAGTTTCACTTCACTCTGGGACCCAGCCTTCCTCCCGCCCCAGGCCTGGGCAGAGCCTTGCTCCCTGCAGACCACAGGAGAGGAGTGACTGGGCAAGGCAGGGCTTGAAGAGGACTCCCAACCACGTGGCCGGTCACCCACTCCCACAGCCAGGCCCTGCGGGGAACCGGGTGGGAGCGAGTCCCCGTGGGGGTCTCTGACAACCCTGGCTGACCTCGGGGTCACGGCTACAGGGACACCCACCCTGAGGGCAGCCAAGCTGGGCCCAAGCCGGAAGGTGCCAGCACCTGGGGCAGGACTGGCCCCCGCGCAGCCCCCACCGCCCCCCTTCCCGGAGGGAGGGGGTTTCCTACCCAGGCAAATAAACGCACCGCAAACCGGGGAAGTTACAAAAGTCTCTTTTTTAAGTTTTTAAATTAAAATTGCACCCTGCTGAGATGAGATTCAAAGGCGAGCTTGGTGCTGGGCCTATCCCTAGACATGCAGGTGGCCCGGGGACAGTGAGGAGTGGGCAGTCACACGGAGTGCACCTTCTGACCAAGCCAGCTCTGCAGTCCTGAAACCTGCACGCCCAGCGGGAGACGGGTGACAACAGCTCCCGAGCCGTGAGGGGGCCCTGGCCAGCAGCCAGGGTGGGGAGGAGGCGGGGAGGACTCCTGGGCACAGTCAGAGGCCCCCCTGCAGCTGTGGCGGCTCCCCGAGGTCCCCGCAGCCCCCCACCTGAGCGCGCACCCACTCACAAACATTAGTTACATTATATATCCATATATATTAGAGTTCTAGATTAAAAAGAAAAAAGCTTGCCTGAAGACAAACTCCTGGAGGACCCAAGTGGCCCAGGAAGTTTACTGTCCCCCCCCCCCACAAAAATCCTTTTATAAAATCTTCCAGTGCGATCTTCAGGAAACCCCGCCCTCCCAGCGCCCCCCGCCCCGGCCCTCCTGTGTCCCCACAACCGTGGGCCGCCCCCAGCTCCAGCCCGGCGCCGGGCTTCCAGTCTCATCTCTGGCCGTCCATGGCCGCCATGGCTTTCTGCTGGGGAGCCCCCTGCTGGGCTCCAGGGGGCCACGTGGGCTGCGGGCAGTGCAGGTGGTGGAAGGTGGTAGGGGAGGAAGGCGGGATCCAGGGCGCCTGGTGGCTGGGCGGGGAGGAGGCCCAGAAGGGGCTGAAGTTTGCAGGCGGGGAGCAGGCCACGGCCGTCATGGGGCTGTTGCCACTCTGCAGGCCGTCGGAGGCGCGGAGCTTGGAGAACATGGCCAGTGCGTCAGGGAAGTTGGGCGGCGTGGCAGGCGTGTTGCTGGGCGTGCACATCTGTGGGGAGAGAGCACAGGTGTGGGGGGTCTTTCCCGGGGCGGGGGGGCTGACCCAGGCCGACCTTTACTGCAAGTCCCTGTCCCAGCCGCGCTATCAGAGCCAGGAGCTCTGTGTGACACTCCCAAGCGGCACCTAAGGGCACCCAAGATGGACGTGAGGTGGCAGACGAAAAAGAAGGGCCGGGGACCAGCCCAGGACGCCACTGCTCGGTGCTGCCTGCGAGAGGCGGCCAGCTGGCTCCCTCCACAGCCCAGGGTGGCCACCAGGGAGGAAGGCCAGGCGGAGGGACGCCCTGCCGTGCCAGCCACACGAACGCTCGGGTTCTCAGTGTTTGGTTCGGGAGCAGGTAGCAGGCCACAGGCCTCCCTGTGACTGGCAGTTGGTTCAAAGATTCCCTCTACCTCACAAGGAAACGGAGGCCCGGGGGCTGAGTCACTGGATGGAAAACGCCCGTCCAGAGGGTGCGAGGTGAGAAGACGGGAGCCCCAAGCCCGTCCCCTCTGCCCAGGCCACACCACGGCCTGATGCTCAGTGCGGCTGGCTGCCCGGGCTGTCCAGGGACAGCACGAGGCTCTGGGCTTCCTGTGACCACAGCCTCCAGCCCCTGTGGCCAGCAGCCCCTCACCAGAGGTCGCCAGTTCCTCAGTCTGCCCTGTCCACTGAGGCTGGCTCCAGACCGGGCCTCTGCCACCAGCCTGGGGGGCAGGGGCAGGGCCCCCCAGGAGCACCTGGCTGGGGTGTGGGGAAGACGAGCAAGGAGACCAAGACCCCCACAAGCTGCTGCTGGCCTCAAAAGCGCTTCAGTCTTTCCCAGGAAGCCACTGGAGTCCTTCTGTGAATTTCTCCTAATTTTAGCAACACTGTCCCCTCCCCCAGCCTGGGGGGGAGGGGGAGTGAGCCGCCAGGGCTGTTCACCTTGGAGGAGGGAGCTCTCACGGCTCCGCAGTTAAACCCACACCAGAAGCTGGGGGACACCAGGGAGAGGGCCCCACTGGCCGAGACAGCACCCAAGGCACTGATCCTTGTCTCCCAGGGGCCCAGGGCCTGGGTGCAGAGGCCCGCCCCCAGCACACACAGGGCTGACTTCTCCACTGCAGGAAACAATGAATGGGGGTGGGGGTGGAGGCCCATTGCATCACAGCATCGTGACCGACTTCCCCAGGCCACCGGCCGCCTCGCCGCACACCAGCCGCAGTCCAGCAGGGCCTGTGCCCGCCTGCCTGCATGAGCCCGGGCAGGTTGCCGAGCCTCCCTGGAGCGCCTCTCTGCTGTGGTCAAACCGGGGGCTCGGACCAGCTCCGTCCTCCACTCCCAAGGGAGCCTAGTGTCCCTGCACTGCCCACGCCCCCTCCTCCAGGCACCCCCAAGTCCAACGCGGGAATCGACAGTAGCCTTGGGGACGCTGGCTCGCGCTCTCACGCCCGGGTCGCTTCTGGCGTGGCCAGACGTACTGGCTGCTGGTCTCTGGTGTGTCGATCTAACTTGTGCCTCTACTGTGTCTCAAGAAACTACCAACTCTGCAGGGCCTGGCTCATTCCTTGCAAGGACGCTGTCACCAAACCCTGCCTCCTGGGGGGAGCCTGCACCACGGGTGACCGTGCCCCTCGGATCTGCCCAGGAGCAGCGGTGGGAAGTGAACCGGGCACCAGGCCCTCTTCCCTCGCGCCTCTGGGTCTCAGTCCCTCAGCAGGGCCACGCTGGGGGCCCTGGGCCGCGGTCTGGGCCGCAGTCGGGAGGAGGAGGTGAGGGAGCAGGCCCCGGGCTCGAGCCCCCGGCAGGTACAGGGGAAGGGGTCCCTGAGATGAGCCCCTCGGGTTCCCACCAGCCGGGCCTCAGCTGCCACGGCCCCGCAGCCCCCACCACGCGTCCACCACACCAGCTGAGCTCAGGAACAGCGAGAGAGGCCGGGGGAGGGTGGAGCTGGCCCCTCCACACTCGGCTTTGCGACTTCGTGAACACAGGGAGCCGAGGCCAAGGCACAGCCGAGAAACCATTTGTGGGCTCTGTCCTGGAGGCAGCCACAGGCAAGGGCACCCAGTGCTGAAAACGCCAAAAATGCACCCAGGAGCCGTCACAGCCTCCAGGGGGCTAATGGGTAACTGGGGGAGGGGCGGGAGGACCGGCCGGGAGCTCGGCCAAGCAGGGTCCCCGCCGTCCGGAGGGCCAGAAGGGAGCGGGAGGCAGGGCCGGCCCCCAGCCCCCAGCCCCCGTATGCAAACCCTCTGCCCTCCAAGCCGAGGCTACTCCTTCCTGGGCCTCCGGAGCCCCGGGCTTCGGGACGGGGGAGGCACCTTTAAGAGCAGGGCCCAGCTCCAGCCCGGGCCAGGGTGGACCTACCCCTTTCCTGTTGCCTGCAGCCTGGGCGTGTGTGCCGCGGGAGGGGCCCCAGGCCTCGCGGATCGCCCCAGCCCCCGGGCCGCCGTCCCGAGGCCCCCTCCCGCCCCGCCCGCCCCCACCCTCGGCGCCCCCCGCCGCCCCGGGCCCCGGGGGCGCGTCGCAAACTCGGGCGAGCCGGCGCCGGCCCCGGGAGCCGCTCTTTCCTGGAAGACATTTTGGCTCTTTGTTTACATTCGCGGCGCGGCGCTCCCCGGCAACATGGCTGTCACCGCCCGCGGCTGACAGCGCCCCCGGCCCGCGCGCCCCCGACGACCCTTACCATCTGGTGGTGGTGGTGACTGTTGGGAATGTTGGTTTCTTGGAAAAACGTGCTCAGCGCGGTCTGCGGACAAGCACAGCGGCCGTCAGGCCCGGGGAGGGCGGCCGGGCCTCCCCCACCCCAGGGCGCCCCCAGCCCCGGGCACCGCCGAGCGCCCCCCGCCCCCCGCCCCGCGAGCCCCGGCCGCGCACCTCGAACTGCCAGTGGGCCGCCTGCAGCAGCTGCTTCGCCTGGTCGGCCGCGCAGCCCGCAGCCAGCACGAACTGGTTGATCATGACCTGGTGCCGCAGCTCTTCCATGTTCACCGACATGGCGCTCCGCGAGGCCCGGCCGGGCGGCCGCGGGGAGGCCCGGCCGCCGGGGTCGCGCTCGCCGCCCGCGCCGCCTCGGCCGCCGGACGAATGTTGTGGTCCGGCGCCCGCGGCCCCGCCGACACCACAAACAACAGCGCGGGGCGGGGCCGGGGTGTCCCAACGTTCGGGGGCCGCGAGCCGCCGCCGCTGATTGGCCGGCGCGCCGCTCCGCCAGCGCCCGGCTCCCGTGCGGACGTTCGATTCGAATCCTGCGGCCGGGCCGGCCGCACTGTTTCCCTTTTCGCCGGGCCGCGCCCATTGGCGGAGCCGCGCGCCGTGGGGGCTGCCCGGCATTGGCCGGCCGCTGTGTTTTGGCCCGTCCCGGCTCGTGATTGGCCAGAGCCCGGCGCTGGGGGCGGGGCCGCGCGCGCTGATTGGCCTCCCGTGGGCCTGTTTGAACTCAACTTGAAAACCTGGAGTGCCCGCTGATTGGCCGAGGCCGTCTGTTTGCTGTTGTAGGCTTGGGGGGTGGCGCGGCCAAGTCCATTCATTACTTCATTGAAACGGAACACGCTCAGCTGGAAGAGCGAGACCGAGCGGCTTTGACTCATTTCCTCTGAAAGATGTGGTCATCTCGAGAAACAGTGATCAAAATAGAAAACAGCTCTGCAGCCGCTCGAGTCTCCAAAGTGCTGGGTTTTTGAATAACTTTCGAGCGGTCCTACCTTTTTGGGAAGCTCCTGCTGGAACATGGTGTCGGCGCCCGTCGCGGGTACGGCAGGTGGGCACTGCCTGCCCCGCACCCCGGCACCCCGGCCTGGGCTGGGAGCCAGTGTCCACGCACAGTCAACGTGACCGCAAGAGAAAAAGTCGCCTTCTCGAGCAGGAGGAATCTCCCCCCTTCCATTGGCTGGCTCAACTGCAGTTTTCATTTTTCCCGTTAAAAATAAAAAGTGTGTTTCTACACAGTACTGCTCTCAACCCCAGCACTTTAAAAATTTTTTAAATTGATTTGAACGGCGGAGTCTCAGAGAGAGAAGGAGGGAGGGAGAGAGAGATCTTCCATCGGCTGGGTCACTCCCCAAACGGCCACAATGGTCAGAGCGGCCAGAGCTGGGCTGGTCTGAAGCCGGGAGCCCCATCCAGGTCTCCCACGTGGCTGCAGGGGCCCAAGCACTTGGTCCATCTTGTGCTGCTTTCCCAGGCCATTGGCGGGGACCTAGATCAGAAGTGGAACAGCCGGGACTCAAACTGGTGCCCACAGGGGATGCCAGCATGGCAGGCTGCGGCTTCACCCACTACCTCACAGCGCCAGCCCCAACCAGAGCGCTTCAAAACCTCGTTTGCTTGTGGGCGGCACTGCCAGCACCTGTGATGGCTGGGTGGCGTCTGGGCAGCTCCACTTCTGACCCAGCTCTCTGCTGTGGCCTGGGAAAGCAGCAGAAGGCGGCCCAAGTGCTTGGGCCCCTGCACCACGTGGGAGACCAGGAAGAGGCTCCTGATCAGCTCAGCTCCAGCCATGTGGCCATTTGAGTGAATTCAGCGGATGGAAGACCTCTCTCTCTCTCTCTCTCTCTCTCTCTCTCTCTCTCTCCCTCTCTGTAACTGCCTTTCAAATAAATCTTCAAAACAAACAGAAAAGCTGTTGTTTACGTGTGGTGAGCTTCCCACTTTCCGGGCAGGGGATGGGACATGAACCAGGTATTTGCAGAGTGGGGTCAGAGCAGGGGGGGCTAGGAGGGCAGAAGCAGTCATCACTCCGTATCTGTGATGTGTGCTTCACCAAAGCCTGGGTCTCCATGGATTCCCCCACCCATAGACACGTAAACGCACGCACGCACACACACGTACATAGATTTAGCATGCAGAAAATGTTTGAGAAGTGAATCTGTGCTGAACCTGTATCGACTTTATTCCCCAGACGCAGTATAAGAACTATTTACGTAGCATTTGCATTGTATTTTAAGTAATGTAGAGATATTTAAAGCTATGGGAACATGTGCATGGGTTATATGCAAATATCAGGCCATTCTATAGAAGGGACCATCTGCAGATTCTAGTATCCACAGGGATGCTGGGACCAGTCTCTCCATCCCACCCATGCCGAGAGAAGAGTTTCTGTTTCAGGATGACTTAGCAAGCTTTTGGTCTGAGTTACTAATGCCAGGTGTGTTTTGACCAGCAAAGGGTCTGCCAAACAGGAAGCTGGTAAGAAGCAAGCAACCACGATTCTCTCTCTCTCTCTCTCTCTCTCTCTCTCTCTCTCTCTCTCTCAAGATTTATTTATTTGAAAAGCAGAGTTACAGAGAGGCAGAGGCTGAGGCAGAAAAAGAGAGGTCTTCCATCCACTGCTTCACTCCCTAAATGGCCACAATGGCCAGAGCTGGGCCAATCAGAAGCCAGGGGCCAGCAGCCTCCTCCGGGACCCCAACGTGAGTGAGTGCAGGGCCCCAAGCACTTGGGCCATCTTCCGCTGCTTCCCCAGGCCACACAGAGAGAGAGCTATGCCACAGCGCCGGCCCCATAATTCTCTTTTGACTTTGCCTAAAGTGGATTTAACTCCCCATCTAGGAAAACATGGCTGTATTTTTAAAGACTGTAAGTAAGGAAAAGACTACAAGCAGTGTTTGTGTACTGATGAAAAACAGCCTCAGGCGTCGTAATGAGTCCCATTTAGCTGTCTTTTTGTTTGTTTTGTTTGTTCTGAGCAGCCTGCCTGCCTGGTCTCCCAGCGATTGCACTTGGATGCCCCACAGTGCACTTGAGCTGGGGCCGTGGGTGTGGCTGCAGGGCTGGGCTCAGTGGTCCCCCAGCATGGTGGAGGGGGGGGGAGCAGAGGGCAGGGGTGGGTTCCAGGACGCCCTAAGGCTACCAGCAAGGTTACCAAAATCTCTAGATGCCCCGCCCGTGTGCACACGGCTGTGGCGTTGGCACGGAACCCACGCACACCTTCCTGTGTGCTTTAATTCAGCTCCAGATGACTCATCACACCCCACACGATGGAAACGCGGTGCGAGTAGCTGTTGAATGGTCTGTCTGCAGAACGACCGTGGGGAAGGCGCTGTGCGGGTGCGGAAGAGCTGCGGCTTTTCTTTTTTTCAAATATTTTCGGTCTGCAGTCGGTGGAGTGCACGGGTACGGAGGACTGATTGCACCACTGAGCCACTCCCTTCCAGGAAGTACAAGCTGAGAACACAGAGAGCAACTGGCGGCACGCACGGTCACGAGCAGCCCCAGAACGAGCCGGTGCCGGCACCAGGGGCTCCCGGCCACAGGTGTCAACACGCCAGGGGCAGGTGCAGCAGGGGCTGCCTCAGCCGAGACATTTCTGGCTGTGGGACAATGTCTACCAGGAGCCTCTTGGCTTATCTATTTATTTTTTTTGCGTTTTCTTTCTTTCTATTGGGGCAGGTGTCCTGGCATAGTGTGTAAAGTCGCCACTGGCAGTGCCAGCATCGCCCATGGGCGCCAGTTGAGTCCCGGCTGGTCCACTTCCCATCCAGCTCCCAGCTAATGCGCCTGGGAAAGCAGCAGAAGACGGCCCAAGTCCTAGGGCCCCTGCACCCTTTTCGGGGGCCCAGATGAAGCTCCTGGCTCCTGGCTTATGACTAGTCCAGCTCGGGCCATTGCGGCCTCTTGGGGAATAAAACAGCAGATGCAAGTTAAAAACAAAAAAAGACCACCTATGGAAAGCATAAAATCTGTTCTGTTTTATATTAATACAAAAATTTTTAAAGATTTATTTCATCTATTTGGAAGGCAGAGAGAGAGGAAGACAGAGACAGAGAGACAGGGAGAAATCTGCTGGTTCACTTTCCAAATGGCTGCCATGGCCAGGGCTGGGCTAGTCAGAATCTAGGAGCCAAGAGCTACATCCAGGTCTCCCATATGGGTACCTTGGCCCTAGCACTTGGGCCATCTTCTGCTGCTTTCCTGGGCGAATTAGCAGGGAGCTGGATGGGAAGTGGAGCAGCCGGGACTCAACTGGTCAGCATGGCAGGTGGCAGCTTGACCCACTGCGCCACAGCGCCGGCCCCAACACTTCTGTCTTAATTAACCAGTTCTCAAGGAAGAGGAGGGCCCCAAATCACCACGTCTGGTCTTTCCTAGACATCAAGGCCGTTCAGCCCACGAGTTCACTGAATGTTTACCAATTGCCGGGCACAGCTGTGGGCACCTGGAGACGCACAGAGGGCAGGACCCCCAAGCCGGGTGCTGCCTCTCCTCTGTGTGGGGGAGGCGGGGGGGAGACAGAGTCCCGCCTGGGACCTGGGGTGCGGGAGGTGGAAGTGCTTCACAACACTGAGACTCTGGCCCGGGACGAAGGGCTGGGCGGGCTGGGAGTGGCCCTGCCCTGGGAGTGCAGGGAGCATGGATGAGGTCATGTTTGTAGAGGGCTTTGAGCTGTCGGGATGAAAGCGGCTCCCCGAGCCCAAGGTGCTATTAACTGACGGTGTTATTATTTTAATCTGAGAGGATAATGTGCAGCCCGTAAAACAGCAATGAAAACATGCCCATTCATAACATCTCAAACACCGGAGAGCCTCAGCAAGGACATGGCCACATCAGTGGGCAGCAGAAGGAACCGCCACCCAGCGCCTGAGCGAGCAAGAAGGCAGGTCCCTGAGTCAGCCCCGAACACCCGCAGCTGCTGCTGGCCGGGCGCCTCTAAGGCAGGTCTCCCCCTCGTCTCCCTCCTGCGTCCCATTGCCCAGGTGAGGCAGCTAGGGGACAGAGGAAAGAGGTTTCCCCGGGGCCACACTGCGGCAAGTGTTGGAGGCAGGCAGCCGTTAGCCCCACACTGGCCGCCGAGCTGCTGCCCGGATCGGTAAAGCTCACCGGGCTGCCAGGGTGGGCACCTCCCAGCCCCCATCTCTGCAGTGCATCTAGTTCCTCCGCCTTTCCTGTTCCTGGCCAACGCCCCTCGCACGGGAGCTGAGGGAGGGGCTCAGAGAGGCCGTGGAAGCCCTCAAGGTTGCACAGCCCCCAGCTGACGGGTGGCCGGCACTGGGATGAGATCCAGCACCATTCATGCCTCCCCTCCATTCCTCCCGCTAATCCTCTAACCATTTTCCCCCCTCTCTCTTTTAAGATTTATTTATTTGATAGGCAGAGTAACAGAGAGGATGAGACAGAGAGATAGAGAGAGATCTTCCATCTCCTAGTTCACTCCCCCAAATGCCTGCAATGGCCGGATCTAGGCCAGGCCAAAGAGCCTGGAGCTAAGAGCTTCATCCGGGTCCCCCACGTGGGT